CATCATGAGACATTCAAAAGGAGATTAAATAACAATAATTAACAAAAGGGGTGCGATCGCGATTGCGTGGGCGCCACAACTATAATTTGACGTTAAAAACTATCAGATAGAAAAACAAGGAAGTCGTCTTTTACAATGGCAGTAAACTTGAAACTGTCTTTTCAAGATATGTTGCCCTGAGAAAACACTGAATACTTCAATTGTGTGCTATGCTACGCGAAAAGCAGAATTTGAAAGTGCGTCTTGCTCATCACGAAAACCATTTATACTTTACAAATGTATAAAATATATCACCCAGAGACAAAATTTAATAATTTGATTATTCCTACCTATTTTCTGTGTCTCTAATTCTGCACATCATACAGTGATTAAACTGTCAATATGAAAAATTTGCATAAAAAGCCCCATTTTTCCTTAACGATGAAGAAGGATCTGACTTTTCAACGTCAATAGACTTTCACATATCAGTGACAAAGTTTCGAACAAAGGAATCGAAATTCTGTCGAAAAAAGCTGAAAAGCTTGGGTCTATATGCAATACGTTTTTCCCTTGGCTTAGAATCTTTGCAGAGCAGAGATAAATAAGGACAAATTGTCAGAGACTTTCGAAATTCTGGATCCAAACAATTTCATTTTCTCAAAAGATACTAGCTAATCGTTTGCTAAAATAATTGGAAATGGATTGAATGCTGATGTGGCGTCCAAGGAAAAATTGGTTCTTTTCATTAGTCAACATTTCAACGCCAAACATACACCATCGGAAAGGATCTGGAAAGGATGTAATAAACTTAGTTACCTTGGCTTTATATTGACTTTGATAGTATAACCCACTTTGGAACGTATTTCACTAAGATTTCCCGTTAAGCAATGATGCAGTAATTGTGAGGAAAGTGCTAATTTTCCTTTATATGTTAACTATTAACTTTCGTAGGCGTTGTGAGAATTTAGGTCTCTAAGTTATCATTCCCATAAGCCCCCGCGGAAGAAGGGTGGATGGTGAAGGGCATTGAAGAGTGAGGTGGCATTTTAAGAACTTATTGAGCACTAAAACGTAAGGTATTCTTTTTCTAATAACTCTTACTCAACCTCGATGAACACTGTAGATGG